CTGGACTTTCAGGTGTAAAAAGACCCTCCTTATTGGAGTATCAAACTATATCATTATCTTTAAGCTAAAGAAATAACCTGATCTTATGACTAGCTGTATATTGCAAGTATTGTGTGTTATGTAAAGTAAAAGGAATGTGTGTTAGAGGCTTGTGTGTGTGCACATTTCTCAGTGAGTACTTTTTTTTTAACATATCAAAGCAGCAGAGGCAATAGATCAATTTCCATCCAAGTCAAGTTTTTAACTCATCCCAGCATCAGACAACAACAAACCCGATGGGATCCATGTGTGTCAAAACAAAGATCACACACACAAACACATTTCTGACCTTGCTTGTGCAATCACTTTTTTAATATGTGACTTTGGGATGTATACAATAGAATGAATTGTTGTCATAAGAACACCAGGACAGGCTTTTAGAGTGGAACACAGCATGTTTCCAGTAAAGACGTCTGTGTAAGGATTTTATTGGAAGTGGCCATAATCACATTAGGATGTACTTGATTTACTTTCTTTACCTTTGTCTTTCGTCAAGATAAAGTATACAAAAGTGTGTTTACCATACACCACTGAGAGGAAGAGTACCACCCTGCAGGGGGAAATGTGAGTAAAGAAAATAATCATTGTCCACAGCTACACTTGACAAATCTGAACTCTTCCAACACAACATCTGCAGTTAAGACATGTGAGAGACGCTTGTCACCATACTGATGGTGACCTCGAGTGTTGCCGATGGATTCTTATTTGTTTCCAACCTGTGTGTTGATTTATCTGGATTCACCAAGTGTAAGTTACCAACATTTTTCCGCAAAGTACTTAAATAGGCTCCAAATCAGGCAGAACTTTCAGAAAACTGATTAAGAAGGATATCTGACCACAATCACTCTGGGTACAAGTACTTCAGAGAAGAAAACAAGCACAGCAACATGAAATTCAACACTGTCACTTCAAACAGAAAAAATATTTCTTCAAGAAAATGCGAGTTTGTAGTTGCATGACGTCTTAGAGAAATGTAACTGACCACTGCTTAGCAAAGATGTTTTGTAATTTTTGCCATGTCGAACTGATTATGTGAATAGCTGCAGGAAAAGCAGTTTCAGTGAATCTCACAGCAGAAAACACAGTCAAGCTAAGGAAGTTTCCTTGTTGTTCAATTCCTTCAGGTGGACAGACTCAGAGGTTTGTTGTGGGTGATAAACATGACAGATTTAATTTACACGCGCTACATGCTCATTTTGAAAAACCCTTCAAGGCTGTTTAATATCTCAACTCAAAGCTTCGGACTTTCAAGGCATGTGGAAACGCTGCCCAAGCTATCAGATTATCTGTTTCAGAATTCAGGTAAAGATAAATACTGGAACGTTTCTATAAATCACACTGACACTATAATTAAAAAAGTCCGACCTCTGAGGAGAAGGCCTCAGGCTTCAGGCCCTTATCTCTGTTTGGTTATTTAAATCTTCGTGTTGAGGAAACTGGAGCAAAAGTTGAATGCTGGCAAACTAACCTCAGGTTCACATGAGCAATTGTCTTTACTCATTATTAGCCTTTGTCCTGCTGTCTTACTTATTGTTATGTATGACATTCACTTTTTGCCTGCACAGAATAAAGGGATTGTGTCCAATTCAGCTCGAATCATTTACATTTTTCAAAGTGAGGCCGACAGAATGAGTTTGTTTTTGGCAGATTTGCTGTGGAGCTGGGACCAATCTGATCCAGTGCTGATGCTGACATACTGTGAAATCTACTTAACCTAGAGTTCAAATAAATTGCTTTGGAATACATTGGAATTCGAAGCACTTTTTATATTTTTGCTCTTTAAGAGAATGTGTTGGCGTGGTTTGCGACTACCTCAGGTAACCTCATAATACCAACAACAACATCAGAGAAAAAACATGTAACATGATGAAGTTATGATTCACTGTGTGAGAACGCAGCAAATAAAAAAATCTAATCTGCAACTGCAGTAGAGGAGAAGCTGCTGATTTAATGTACCAACCAAACATTAACAACATTAAAAACTTCTATTAATGACAAATAAAAAATCGGAGAGGAGATACAAGGCAAATATAAACTTCTTTGTAATTCTTCCTTCTGAGGAGAACTTGCAAATGTTATTCTTATATAAAGTTTTGTCATCACTTTCATAGCATCTTCATCCACACAGACAGTGGGACAACATGTGTTTGTTATACATGTGCACATTGCGCAGCAGAATTTTATCATGACGGTAATTTCACTGGGAACGTTGCTATTTTCAAAAGACTCCAGGGTAACATTTTCTTTTCTGCCTTTTTTCATCATCCATGTTGAGACTGCAGAGCTCATTCAGCTCAGTGACGTTCAAACAGATTCAATATATCAGGATATATTTCTTATTAATTGTACAAGCACAGTGAGGAGGTATAAAACATTATTGATCTACTTTTAAGATTTATATAGTGTTGAGTTTAAAACCACAACCACACTTAGGAGCAAAAATCTGTCTTTAAACTTAAAAAAAATAATGTGACATTTATGATGATACTTATATCTTGATATATTTTTTGGGCATAAACCCAAGCCTGAGCTGCAGCTGCTGTAAGATATATTTTTATATTCATCTCCACATTTATTGTTGCTTTATATTACTGTTAATTCTATAAGGCGTGATGGACTATGTGATTTATGTAGCTAAGTATTGCTTCACAAAGTCTGTGGTGGTGTCTGTGAACTTGTAATGACTTGTAATCAATGATCAGTTACGCAGAGGCTTCAAAATGCCTGTCTGGAATTTATTTATTGTGGTTCTCATCTAGGAGCATATACAGTTCACCAGGTAGCTAAAGAAGTTATTTAACTCAAACTATTCATCACATATAATTATCATCACCCTCCTCTTCACCCTTAAATAAAGCTAACAGTGACATTTACTCACATTCAGTACAATTGTACACATTTTACTGACAGTTCTTTAACTTCAGTACAATTTTCCACTACTACTTCCCATAATAATAATAATAATGACAATAAAGACAAAACCAGCTCTGGTATCCATTTCTGTGTCTGCAGATATCCAAATTCAAGTATCTGAATCCGATCAGAAGTGAGAAAAAGTGAATCGGTGCGTCTCTAATTGTTATTCATAGCGTGTAGATTAAGCTCCAGCAATGTGAGGTGAATCTCCAGCATTCACTATCAGACACCTCGTCTCACATCACGAGGTATGAAACTGTTAAGTGTCTCAGCTGATCTCTCACACACACATACACACTTAAGAAAACAAAATGAGGGAGATGTTCTGTTTCCAGCTGCTATGTGAAACTCAATTATACAGCCAATTGAGAATGTGGCCGCTTCTCAGATTTGTACGATGCGTTCCTGACCTAAATAAGACTGCTGTTCCCAGTGAAGCCTCAACAACTGCACACACTTAGCAGATTGACAGACAAGGAAAACAGTACACACGTACATGCACACGCACACACGCACACACACACACTGACGCTCACGCACATCTGGACCTCTGCTTCTCTCATTCGTATTTGCTGAGTGTTTTTCTAATGCACGGTCCCCTGGTGTTACTGCCCCCAGACCCCTAAGATGAGGTGAGGTAAGATTTGGAGCCACGGTTTTATGCCATCTGGATATACATTCACACATGCTCGCTCGAGTGCACGCATACACACACGTACAGATATACTCTTGTCATAACCCAGACTGACAAACACCTGGACCTGGTTACTGGACTCGAAGGGAGAGTTGAATACTGCGTGCATACCTGCATGTGTGTATAAGTGTGTGTATAAGTGGGGTGTATGGGGAATACTGGGCTGTAGGTTATTCAGCGCTGGAGGCTGTGTGGAGGTTCATTTTAAGTTTTTTAGCCCTTGAAGAAAGGGGCTCACTTCACCAAGTCTCAAAACTTAAAGGTAGGTCATTGCTACTAGAATATGTAGACCCCCCCTCTCCCAAATACAAAGAGTCCCTACGGAGAGGGATTTTCAGCTTTATCTGGCAGAAAATAGAGAAAAATATTTTACCACAATCCATTGAAAAAAAAAAAATGGAGTAAAGCTCTGAAAATAAAAAAATATGAAGTAACTGTTAAGTTTCCACAATAAACTGCTGCTGCTAACCACTAAAATCTATTTAAACACTAAAATCTATATTTCAAGAAACAGCTACTTCACATTTTGTACATTGTATATTTCGAGAATTGGACAAATTGCACAACCTTGATCTCAACATTTTCCCCTTGCCCTGCTGAGTCTCTTGTTAATTGTCAATAAAGGTACATCTTAGCATCTCCTATCATATGTCTTAAATCATAGTTGGGATAACCGAGGTGTAGACGAAATCTTCTATTAAAGGTTTGTGTCTATAACTGAGAAAAACCCAAGTTATTATTGTAAGAGGCTGATTAAAAAAGTCACATTATCTCACCAGTGTGTCATTTAAAAAAAACTTCCTGAAGTTGAATCACAGCCCATTTAGTTTTACATCTGCAGTTACTGCTGTTGTATCGTCATGGTATCTCAAACTAAACTTGAAGATTGTATTTATGTTCTAAATACTATTACTACTTTAAAGACAGCAGTGTTTGTCCAGGTAGCCTTGATACATGCAAAACACTTATATTACTGTCACTGTCATATTTATTTAAAAAAATCCGTTTTGGAACATTTTCCCACATGTACAGTAAAAACTTTTTGTTGCTTAGTGACCTGGGTTAATGATAAATGATGTGATCCTACTCAATCTGTGTGATAAACGATACACATCTTTAACGACACCTTGAGACAAACACCTCAAGACAAACTACACAAACTTTTTACTCTCTTCAAACTTTTTCTTACGTCACATGAAAGTTGTGTGGCTCTAAAATCGCACGTGCAGCAGATTGTCAACACACAGCCAAACAAAAAGAGAGACCAGTCTGTCAAACATGGAAACGCACCGCCACGCAAAAAAACCCTGCGTGATAAAATGTCACGCTCCTTCACGCCGGCTTCACTCACCTCAGGCTGCTGTCTGGGTTCCTCACTCTGGGTTTCTCACTCTGGGTTCCTCACTCTCTGTTTCTTACTCTCGGTGTGACTCCGGCTTCAGATGCGATGTGAGTCAAGTCGGTTTGTTCGGATTCCGGAGTTTCAGCTTCGTTCTCGCGCCTCAGCCGCGCGCGCGCACACAGCGTCACAAATGCACGTGAAAGGCTGTGACTCACTCCGGGGTATGAGGGGTGATTAATGCCACCGACAGGCAGCAGTAGAAACTTTACTGTTTCTAATCTTCACTTCTGTTCTTCTGTTATCCAACTTGTACAATGAAAGCTGAAGAAGTAGATTGAGAGAGAGTCAACATTCTGGTTGTTGCTGCAGCAGTCAATTTAACGGAGAGCTAAACTAACTAAATGAACAAATAACCCAATTAATGAATAAAATATCTGACATTTATATTTCTCACCCTTTTCCAACAACTCATTGTGAGTAAATTGCCAATTGGTAAGAACACTGGAATACGGTGGATGTGCACTTATTTACTGGTTTCATTGTCAATGAGCTTAAACAAATCACATTTGACATTTCACGTGACATTGTAATCCATATAAATAAATCTTAATGGAAACATACATGACATGTATATAAAGTCTTTTTATTCATCAAGTCTTAACAGAAGTTATCTGGGGTCATTTTATAGAACAGGGTAATGGGGGATAACTGATAGGCTACGACAGATAACCTTAAGGTTGTCTGCTATGTTTCCAATTCACTGAGCCTTGCCTCTATCACGGCAAATAAATTGGATAAACTGAATACACACCAGATTCCTCATATGCTGATGATGTGTGTGCAGGGTGGGTCTATTTGAACTATAGAGATATCAAGTCATATCCATATTCAGTTTGTCTAATGCAAACAACCAAGGAAATGATGGAGATATTTTTAAATATGGACAGTGTGTCCTCTACAGTGAACTTGTCCCAACTAACAACTTCATAAATGTTATAGATTCTTGCCACTCACGCTCTCATTCTATCATGTTCTCATCCTGTCAGTAGTTACAGTAGCATCAACTTCACCTCATTGTTTTTCTGTGTCTCTTCTGACATTTCTCAGCATATAGATGAAATCTGCATTTCACTCTGCTTATATCAGAGTCCTCTATTTCATAATAATACAGGTAGTAAACCTCAGATATGGTGTTAAAAGTACATCATTTATTAAACAAACACAGATCGGATTGAACAGGTCAGACTGAACTTTTATTCTTTCTTATAAGCCACAGTTAGTCAACACTGTATATTGTTCCTCCGGACAGTTTTTTAAATGATAATTATGTGAAATTAAGATAACAGAGTTTTGTCACAATTTGCTCTGCTGTGTGGAAAACAAAACAAAAATACTGTACAGTATTTACCCCTCAGTCAGAATGAAAATTAAATATCGTCAAATCAGTACATTGGGATGGTTAGGTGACAATCAAGTGAGAATTTTTTAAAAACTGAAGAAACTAATTGGCATCGATTCCCTTCACCAGCATCCATGCCCTTCACCCAGTTAAATACATACTGTCTGATAAGACATCTATAAACAAAATAAAATATACATAGTTCATAATATCCATGTTTGACAACCTATTCTCCTGCAGGACACAGAGAGCTTATTTCTTTTGTGAGGCACATAGACGACCAGATCAACCAAAAATGAATGCAATTTGGAAAATTAATATACAAAATAATACAAGGTAAATTATAAAACTCATGAAATTATTTGGCACTCAGAATAGAAAACACATTGCTGCCTCTGCTATGCAGTTCGGTCAGTCCACATAGTGAGGAGAGATACATAAATATACAAATATGGGCTTTATATTTTGTTGTTTTGTATGTATACTTTTTATTTAGATTCATGTCCTCAATAAAATCAAGACCAATTTTCATTCCTCTTTGTCTTTCTTAAGTGCCTCACAGACCCATATATTACTAAAAGTTAATGTTTTGTTTTGAAACAGGTGATAGTTTTGCCAGTGTTACCAGTTTCACACAACAAATTGATAATAAAAATGACTTCATTTCATTCATTTAAAAAAAGAAGTTGAAATAGAATTCATTTAAAAATAAAGAAGTTTAAATAATTATAAGCATTTATCAAAGGCTACAGCTTTAATCATCATTCAGCCCAAACTATATAAAAACACTTATTTATAGCTGCTGCTCAGACTGTTATTTGATTACAGCCACATAAAAGCCTGCTTTGAATAAAGTTGTTTGATATACTTTGCTCTCATTGTTTCCATATAATACGGGTATGAATATATAATTTAACATATCTCTGGTACTGGCTAACGACAATGAGTGACATGTCACTTAACATATTAAAACAGAAAATGTGATGACGTCACCACTGTCATGCCTCTATAAAAGTCAAGATTAAACTCTGGGTATCACAGAATCTTAATTCCAGATGAAAATGAGTCTGGAAGTATTTCCACTGAAAATTGGATGAAACTGAGAATGGTCATTATGAGCTGTGAGCCTTATTGCTGCATCTCAAAGGGATAATGAAAGCAAATGTAAATCATGTTTTCTTTACAGTGCCTGCATTTGGCTGAATTAGCTCACCAGGAGACACCACTGTGCATGAAACTAATCTATATAGTCAAAGATCCTCTCAACCTATCAAATGTTCCACAGCCAAAAATGTGTGAGAAGAGTCCGAGATTTAAATCTTGAATGTGTGAGCATGTTTCTTGCAAAGAGGTTTGTCTTTCTTGGAGAAGAAGGTCTGGCCTTCCAGTGTGGTGCAGCACACCTGCAATAAACCACATGAGCACACAAACACACAGGTTACATGAGTTAAGCTGTCTGGAATACTTTAAACAGCTGACCGTGATCCTAACACATCATGATGCAAAAACTTTAGATACAAGAAAAATGAACAATACTTATATACTATTTTTCATTATAGGTAACATCTGCCAAGGAGTGAAACAATAGATTAATCACTGAGTGAAGATAAATCTGAAAATCTGAAAACAAGGTAATGAGGAAGAAACAAAATGTTAAGCAACTAAAACTGAATAAGAATAAAAGGATTGTAGGGTGGTCACAGGGGGTGGTCACCATTATGTTCTCATACTAATACTGAGTCAAGTTTAGACTTCAGCTCGGACTCTGCATGTTTGGAGTGAGTGCGGCTCTGGATGTAATTTTGTGTCCTAACCCATGAGAGTCTGAGAGAAAACTAATCAGGCCTGACTCCAACCCGACAAATGTTCTGTTTTTGGTGTCTGAAACCAAATTGCACCCGATGTTTCCCCCAATTACAGACATGTGCAGTGTCAAAAAATCGAATAGGTTGCACAGCCAACTTCTCAAACCCAAATATCATTTCAAGCCCTTCCCCCAAATGTGATGTCAGGATATATACATGGATATACAGGATCCACTATGATTTGTATCTATGATTCACACTTACAGCACAAACAAAGCAGGTGTCATGCCAGGTGTAACCGAGGGCATCCAGGAACTTGTCTCCAGCCTCGATGGGGAACTCACAGCCATGGCATCCAGTCCCAAACAAACTGTAGAAATCTTTTTAGCGACAAGACAAAGACCCAGTGAGTACTCTACATAAACAGAGATCATAAAGGACAGTGGACAATCAAGAGAAAAACGTTACACCAGGTAATTTTACAGATAAAAACAACTTCAACGTCATTCCTGAGTGAAATCAAAATGTACAGTTAATTCATGACAGAAGGCTACTCTTGTCTTGCCCAATTCAACACGGTCTGAGTGGCCGATCAGAAAGTTGTTCAAAGTCCTCATTGCTCACCTTGTTCACAGTATGGCTCTCCATCCTCCAGATGGAAGGTGTTGTTTCTGATTGGCTGCTGACAGCCAGCGCACTGAAAGCAGTACACGTGCCACGACTGTTTGAGGGCATTGATCACCTCCTGAGCACAAACACAAACAAGTTGGAGTCATCGCACAGGCTGTTAGGAGCACTTGACTGCGTGTGCATGAGTGTGCGTGTGTCAGTCACAGTGGCTGGAGAGTTAGATCCAGTTCTCTAGAAAGCAGGGTGGATAAAGTGAAAACCATGTTACTTTGCTCATCACATCAACTATCTATTGCTTTTATGAATCAATCCCTATTTGATCTGTTGGATAAATCTCTTTGTTTAATAGGTGTCAGGAATGTCTAACCTTTCTTACTGTCTGACCTTTTAAATATGACTCTTTTTTTTCATGTGGCGCCTCATGACGCAGCTTAAAATAGACATTTGATTTCTTTCCCACCCAAACTGTGAGAACAAGAAAGGACAGGGGATCAATGGAGGGTTGGTGGGTCGCAGTGAGACGGAGGATTAGGGGAGAGGGAGTGAGAAAACAAGTTAATAAGAAGCTGTAAGCTGGTTGAAGATGTGTGAGAAATAGAGGGTTGAAAGGGATCGAGGCTAAAGAGGTTAGAACATGTGAGGGATGAATGTCAGAGCACAGATGTCAGCTTCCTGACACTGTGGGTTCAAGCGACACCTGCCACCTCTGGGCCTCTAAGCCTTATTCTCCTAACACCTGAACCTTTACTGCATTCCTGACTTGGGCAAGTGGCAAGTGATTTGCAAACAGCAGCCATGACATCATCCGGAATACAGACTTGTGTCTGTTAGCTGCTCCGATGCTCTCAGCTCAGGTGTTTGCCAAGTTCTGCTTACCTGCAGAAAAGTGCATGCTGCAGGAACATGCAGCTGAAGTGGAAAGTAATGATGTTATGCTGAATCAGCAGTCTGAAGACAGTGTCAGCAGCGCGGCTGGAGAGACACTCTGCTCTGCAGCAATGTTTCATAACCGAGCTGCGACCAAGACATCAACTTAGTGTATAAAAAGTTAAATCTTCACAGTTCAATCATACATTAGATTTTAACGTAGTCTTTGTTTCCCGCACTTTTAGGGTTGAAGTGACCCTGGTCGCAAATACATAACAGCTCTTTACTAACAATGTAAAATGTTACAATCCAGATTTAAACCTCTAATGAAAGAATGGAGAATGGACCAGGTAATTTTGGCCACTGTTAAATTTATCCAGGTTTGGCATCAGTTAAACCCCCCACCAAAAAAAAAACTAACTTATAGTGGGCGTTCAATAAAGAAGCGTGTTGAGAAGTAATCAGTTCAGGTGAAGGCAGGAAGCAATATTATGAGGAGAAACTGATTCCATTGTAACACGACCTTAATACTCGTGCTGGATAATATGGCCAAAACCCATGTAAAGGTAAAATTGTTTATATCAGTTGATATTAAGAATTATCATGATTTTTTTACTCCCAAGTTAAGCTTGTGGTTTTAATTATATCTATATATTGCCATAGCCCCACTTAATACACACACATCTGTTTAAATGTTGGGTCAATTTCTATTTCAACTTCCAGTGTAAAGTGTGATGCTTAAATCCAAAAATCAAGATGTGTAGTTTTTAATGTTGAAAGTAAAATATCTTCATTTTGGATTTCAATACACATGCTGGCCACATTTGAGTGAGTTTAATGAAAAGCGGAAAAACAGAAGGACGTAACACAAATAGACTAACGTTGTTAAGTGTGACAGGTTTGTAATGATGGACACAGAGAAGGACAATCTCTGGTGTCCAAACAGCAGGTGGTGGACAGTCACACACAGTGTCAGTGCCAGCTGTACAGTAAGTGAATGGGGCTAATGGAAAATCTTCAGACAAATGGTTAAAAAACACTGATGATTTATACATGTTATCTTTCTCTGAACTGTGATGTAACTTTATCTGTCGTCTTCACAATGTTTTGCTTTTAATTACAGCTTTGCTATGACTAAATAGCTGTTGAATAACAATCACAGCAAGAGCAGCCACATGACAAAATGATGAGTGCAATGTTAATGAGCCGTCACCGACACACACACACAGACACACACACACACACACACACACACACACACACACACACACCATACAGCTCATTTTCATCTCACACTAACTCACCCCCAGTATCTTGGCCTGGCAGCGGCTACATGTTGGAGCGAAGAAGTCTTCATAGCAGTGTTCACAGTAGACACATCCCTGCTCCTCCACGAAGCCTATGTCTGCCAGGGATGTGCGGCAGTGGGCGCAGTTAAACTCCTCCTTGTGCCACGATTTACCCAATGCTACTAAAAAGGGTCCTCTGAAAAAAAAAGACAAGCAGAGATAATGGGATGAGGGGAAAATGTATTTCATTTGATAATAACTCAAAGTGGAACCTTTACCCAAGAGAAATTAAAGTGATTTGAAGGACATCTTATAATAAATAAAGTACCCAATATCCTCAACAGTTCTGTTTCATTAGCAAGTAGCCACGAGAGGCCAAACAGGGAAACTGCATATGAATAAATAATGAATGTGAGTAATGTCAGTCGCTACCAAGAGACAGAGGGCCACATCATCAAATGGCTGATTTTGTCTAATGAACAGTTCAATAGACAAAAGGTTTAGATATAATGATGTATGATAATAATAAGAATAACATAAGTATAATTTACAAAAATCCATATTGGTGAGGTCGGAGCAAATCAGCGTTGGACTTTTGTGCCAAATTAATAGATTATGAAAATTGTTGTACGATACATTTATGTCAACTTATCAATCAAAGGTAGTTTTAATATTTCTCATGTGTCACTTAAATCCAGTGTGTTGTGTAAACAGTCTGTCCACCATCGTCCTCTGCTATCACCTCAGCCCTGTCCACTGAGATGAAGAGGAAACGTATGAAAGCAGCAGAGACTAATCTACTCCACAGAATAGCTGCACTTATCTGAGCTCACTCTGATACTGACCCTGATAGGTACTGTAGCCTGGCAGTCGTTAGAACCTGAGCAACCCTATCCTTGGTGATGTGTAATATAAGGTGACACAAGATGCGATAACGATGGGGTTCAGGCAGACGGAGTAGAGACGTGTGTGGAAAAAACTGTGCCTCTATACTTCAAATGTGATCTTAACACTTGGAAAACCAAACACTCTTCAGATACTTGTGCTGTCATTTCATCATCATGTTCTATTCATCAGATATAACTGCACAAACAATACATATAACATCTTTACTTTTACTTGCATAGAATGTGCTGCATCAGTGACACCCACCAGATTCTCCATTTCTTAGTCCTATGAATTATCTTTAAATAGTAGACTAAAAGAAACCCAACAGGAAAACCAAGCGCTGATATCATCCAAATGTGTGTATTCAGAGTATTGAATGCACACACACACACAAGAAGATACCTGCATGTCTACATCTCAGTCCGATCTTTAGTTCTACAGTTTCATACAGATTATTTACTGCGATCGTTTCAAGTTAATTATTTTAAGTGCACAACCGTGTCACTAAGTAATTAAGGAGTGGAGGTGAATTCATTAGCTTGAGTACAAGATGATATATCTGCAGCCAAACTGAGCAGTGACCAAGTAGTGTATGAGCATGAAATGATACATGTGCATTGTTTTCTTCAGTGAAGTTTCATGACTAAATTCAGTTTTCAGCTTTTCCTCACCTGATGACCTGGTTGCAGTGCGCACACATGGGCGTACGAGTCCCTGCAGGAATGTGCTCAGCCATCTGGACCAGGGTGTCTTCATCTTTAGGATGTGGCTGAGGTACAGGTCGGGCTGGGACAGGAACCCTCGGGACACTGGCACTGCCGTTACCCTTCATACCGAAAGATGGAAGGATCAAACCGGTACGTGGGCGTTCACCTGTTGACGTTGGGAAAGGAAAAACAGGAGATCTTAACAATGAGACATCTAGAGAATATAACAGGAAAGAGAAAGTGAGCAACTGCAGCATCACAAAACATGAACATCTGCTGTTTCTTCCCAGGTGTGTAAGCTATTTGACATCTGCCCTTCTTGTTTTTAGACCCAGCAGGTGTCATGGCGGTGCACAAAGCTGGGTGTCTACCACTGTCACAACCAAGGATTCACCACATCAATTTTCAGCAATACACAAAATATTTCATTCTACCTCCAACATTCCTCTGGTGCATGTACATGCATACACATGACCAAGCACACACCACACACACACACACACACGGACCACCAAGACATTCCCTTGGTTAAAACCCAGACACCTGGCTAAACATGTAGTTTGGCATGTGATGTCCACACTGTGGATGGAAAAGTGTTTTTGTATGTGTGTGCATGGTGCAGGGAACTACTTTTGGAGCTTGGCTTTACCTTTAAATGTCACGTTGAAGTTTGTGTGTTTGGGCAAAGAGCAGAGCTGCGTTTACATTTAATGTTGGAGCTCCTAGGGTAATTTCTTAAACCCTCATCATAAAAAATAGAGGGCTTCAGTTGAAACGTGTGTTTGACAGTCCTTGAGGGAGGCTAAAAGCTGTAAGATGCCATGGACATGAATGCTTTTTCACTGTTACACAACTTGACCAAAATCCATTGCAAAAAAGAAGGTGGCACACATTTTTTTTTTCAAGGAAAAGACAGTTTTTACGTTAAGTTTGTGTGGTAGATTTTACACTGTTTGATGTTTCAACCTGGCAAATTATTAATCACATTGTGAAGCATGCACTTCAGAAGGCTTGTGAAGGAACATGCGAAGCAGATAAATGAAGGAAGAAGACTGCATTAGTACGTGTCTGTGTTTTCACATTATAACAGTGCTGATATTGTTATACAGTGGGCATTAGCAGCAGGCCAGCTGCTGGAGACCTGGTTTCCTCAGTGGCTGCTTGAGATTTAAAATGGGTCAGAGGCCTGCTGCTGCTGGGGCACCACACGGGTAGTAGTATATTTTCACGATCCTGAGTCCCTTGGTAAGTATGACTGCATTTACGATTTGTGCTGAGCAGCACTTACACCAGCAAGAGAAGGGCTCAGAGAAGACTTCAGCTCAGGCTTCGAATAAACCTAAACTGACAAATTGTATTTATTTATGTTAGTATGTATATGAGAAGCAGAATAATGCGCATAAGTGACACTGAGTCTCCGAATCTCTAAAGGTTGAACAGACATTATGCTGCAGCTCTGTGGGTTGCCTTTAAAACTTTATTTACAACTATCGACGGGTCCCTTCGGTAAATATTATCCTTCTAAAAGAGTCGAACTCCTGCATGTGCGGCTGAGCGAGGCGCCATGGGCAGAGTGGGGCCTTCTCGTCTGCTTTATGGGCTTCCACAGAGGAACAAGAAGAGAAAAGAAAGTCTGCTATGACCTATTTCACAACATATGTCACGCTTCAACCACGGAAAATAAGCCTCTTTCCCCTTGCTAACTGGCTGCAACAACATTCAATCCAGCAGCAGTAAATCAGTTTCACACGATGCCAGAATTGGGAACCAAACACTTTTTTTGTGTGTGAGAAGAAAAAACACTTTTTTAACTGTAGGAGGGAATGTATTAATCAATCAAAAAACTTACTTAAAAGAAGGTTTAGCTCAATTCCAAATGGAGGCTATTTTTAGGATTCTATTTGGGGGAGTCTACGTTTTGGTCATGTGTGTATTCCCTGACTAATGCTAAGAAAACAAGCTCTGGCACCTAAGTCTGATTGTACTGGTGGTTAATTTAGGTTTCAGTCTCACGTAAAAACAACTCATACGTAGCTGTACAGATATACTTCTGTTGGATTTGGCAGCATATTTAATTCAGTGTTCCACAGATGGTGTTGTAGCTTTTGGCCCAATGAATAAACACTGTATTATAGTCACTCAAAACCATGTATTTTATACATATAGTGTTTGACAGATATGCTATTTTGGGTGAGTTTAGTCATATGAGACAGGCAAACTGTGGCTTGGTCCAAGGTGCATAAATCCCATTTTATACAGGGTGTAAAAAATGACACCTGGCAATGGTGGAAACCAGTGAAGGAAAAACCCTTTAAGATATTCTGTGATACACTGGTGACCTGTCAAGAGACCAATGTCAGCTGAGATTGGCTCCAGCTCCCCCACAACCCTGAAAAGGAAAAGTGATATAGATAATGGATGGGCACACACACACACACACACACACACACAGATTTAGGTCCCAACATGAATTATACCTGGATCACACACAGACACACACATGCACACCTATCTTTGTCAGGACACTGCATTGACTTCCATTCATTATGGACATCTGAAAAAAAACCCTATCCCTGACCTTAACCTTGACCATGACGTTTTGCCTCATTAGGACTGAGCTTTGGTCTTCGTGAGGTCTATTGGTCCTGACAAGGTCAATGTTTTTATGCAGGAAAATGGACCCATGGACACACACACACACACACACACACACACACACACACACACACTTTACCGTGGCTTGCAGCAGGTCCTTTAATCATGGTTTTGACGACTGCAGACTCGTGGCTGTTGAGTTGAGGCTCACCACCGTCCTCACTGTGCAGAAACACATGATGGAAACACAAATGATATGGAAATCACTTCATATGTTTTTTAATTTAATTCATAATTAAAAGCAATACACCAGAAACAACTGCCATTGCACATTCATTGATACATAAACTGTACTTGCATTGCATGGATAACAAAATGCGTAGTTTTTATTCGTATTTGCTCATTCAGAGTGATGAATCATACAACGGGAGAGTTTAAACTGTAATTTGCAGATTTAATCCCAAATGAAATATTTTTGGAAGCATTAAAAAAGAACATGAAAACATAAAAAACACTTCAGCACAGTCAGATTTACACGTTCCTGTTACAGTAAGACAGACTCCAGACCACCTACCTGCTGACGCATACAGCACCAACCAAAACAGTACAGTGTTCCTGGGGCACTTCCTGAATGTGAGTACAACATGTACACAAAAATGTTGCCCATGTGTCATATTCACAGCAGAGTCCAGGCCACGTCAGGCCAGATGAGGGAAAAGACACGGGCTTGTTTGTGCAGCACTAACAACACAGCACAGCCATTTAAACCTGATGCCAGGATATCAATTTATATGGTTCAATAGAGAGTAATTGACCAGAGTGGAGTGAGACGTAGGCTGGTGTAATAAAGAAATATGCCCAATCCAGATATGCAGACAGATGCCAGACTTACAGAACTAAAGATGGAGGGGAGACAAAGTTTTTGTGTAAAGTCTGACCACATTCAGTTCAGTGGATTATCTGTATATTCTTACAAAAACTGCTGCATATAGAGAATAACAGTGACAGCCAGAGGCTCTGGTTTCTGGACGTTAATTCCCTGTTCATTTTCTCTATTGACGTTTCAGAAACTCCTCATTAAGAGAGAACCTAGCTGACCAGAGATGATCAGAAAACATTTGATTTAAAGCAAAACAAATATTGGAAAATGGAAAAAAAGGCAAAGGTACAAGAGTATGTACAGAATTATTTGAAGAGTGAATGAACTTCACATCCCATAAACCACTGCGAATGACTTCCAGTGTGCATGATGTTTCATAAAGTGTTTGTATAGTAAGTGTCTTAACGGTGAACCATCTGATCATAGTTGACATCATTTTTCCAGTTGTGATGCAGTTGTAAAAGCAATCACCAGTCAGAAATGTCACTACTACACCTGAGGATTATGGGTAGTGTAGTACTTTTCCTTAACATCGCAAATAAAACACGTGATTCTTAAAACACGGGGGATATCATACAGACCTTTGGCTTCTACAGGAGCATATAACATTGTGGTAAGTCTACCTAAGGCTAATAATCAAATTCTCTTCAGAAAATGAATGGGATTTTTACTTCATTTTAAATGTCCCTTCTGAATGCATATGGGTTTGGACACTTGGCTCAAACACAGTAGTAAGATTGACTGTAGAAAATCTTGTGGTTTCCACATCAGAAGATGCCACAACATTAATCCAAATGACGAAATAGAGAAAACAACTACAGAACCAGCACTTATTCACAAATACAATCAGACAACCAGTTTATATTAAGTGAATGTAAACTCATTAGCACATCACATATATTGTGTCTCTCAACACACAGTATAATATCTGTGACAATGTTCTGAGTGCTCAATCTAAACGGTCTAAAGCGACACATATTTTCTGAGGGCAACATATTCTTTACAGGGTTCACACATTCCCTCTGAGGTCAAACTGTTCTCTTGTAAGGAAAACATGTGGCTCTGGGCAAAATACTCCCTCGTGATGCAAACATTTCTCTACTTGGTGAGGAACTTATTTTTTCACAGTGAAATACTCTTATTTAAAAAAATATATATTTCTTGTGATCTATGTGAAGAGCAAAACATTTTTTTGCTCTGATAAAAAAAGGTTTCTTGGACAAAATCTCGAATGGGGAATTTATCAATATTTAATGTAATTTATTGATCAATTCTCCGTTTATTATCTGGCTTTGAATTCATTTTTCTAAGATCAGAACTATTGTGAAGGGACGAAGCAAAATGTTTCTTCAATCAAATATTTCCCTTGGGCGTCAAACTCTCTGCTGCCTTTTAAAGTGATGCAAATGAATAACTTCTCTATGAGTAAGATCAAGTGTGTGCATGTCTTTTTTTGTGATTACTTCAAATGTGTGTGCGTGTGTGTGTATGTGTTCATCAACGCCAGCCGATGAACTTGGGTGGGCCAAGAATCTCTCCCCAGATGTATTACATCCATCATGCGTAGCTGTGGCTGATGCCAACAGTTGGATCGCTGCTGTCTGCAACTTGTGCCTGACTGTTAGTGGACTCATGGGAGACAAGTGTTGTGGCAACTGGAGTCACAGATACATTGAGCTGTGCCTGTAGGTTTTGTCGGTGTGTGAAAGAAAGTGAAAAAGAAGAATTGCGAGTGTGATAACATCTGAGTGATGGAGACTGTTAGACATAAATAGAAAGATGAGGAGGAATGCCTCTGTAGATTATCTGTGCTTCAGCTGCCCACAATTCATTTGACCACACAGGACATAACATGAAATGCTCCCTACAGAGCAGGTCCACCTGAGCCACTTTACCACTGGTTAAAAAACCCTCTAACACATCTGGCTTTTGTCTTCAATAGGAATGGATTCAATCGGCATTCAATCCCAGGTCAAATGACTCTGTGGTAGACACAGGTTTTTAATTGGCTCCGGCTACGATCGGCAGCAATGGAATCGTGAAACCAGGGAGAATGCGCTAATTTGGCAAGACAACGAGGTGAGAGAGCGCCTCAGAAGTTGGTGTGCTCGTGATGGTGAACGTGATGCACCAGGTGGAAAAAAACACAAAGGCTGGTCATGGGAGATGATTCAATCTTCTTTTTTAGTGGGTTTACCTGCATTTAAAAAACCCATGGATACCTACTACTTTTGGTGTAAAGGAGGTATTGACGCTCTAAAATCAGATTGATTAAAACGTTCTTTATGTGTAGCTGATTAATTCTCACAAGGAGATTTATGGGACAGATGTACATCACAAGAGGAGAGATTTACCTAAAGACATAGACAGCATTGACGGGGAAGGAGAAAAGAGGGTCTCCCTCTTCTGTGGCAGACTGATGCCAAGACACCATTTGGTGTAAAAAGGAAAACATTAAAGAAATAATAACTTCGAAGAAATGAACACAAAGTTGCTTAGTTGTCTGCCACGCTCTTCACACGTACATATAACAGTTACATTTAGTAGTTGTTATATGTACTGTTGTTAAAAAACAAATGTGCCTCTCATCTGTCATCTGAATAAACACAGCGTTACACAGTGGAAACACAAACCACAGTGCAATGACAAGCATTGAGATAAATACACCCAGTGGCCTGTTGATTGATTCCAGCTGATTGATTCCATCAGACTATGGCTGGTACAGGACTGTCAGACTGTGGGACATCTCTCTTCATTCATCAGATCATTTGTATCCATGTGACTGACAGCTGAGGCCAGCTGCAAATTAACTTCTTGTATCTACAGCCAGAGATAATAAATTATGGGAACAGGAAGTAGGCCAAAAATTGCCAGTTAGCTGCAATTCCACGACTATTTCCTTCATAAACCATTAGCATATAATTCAATGTACTCTAATTTACTGCGGTCTTGCAATATTTATATCTGCTTGTGCATTTGTGAATCTTTTGATTTGTCAAGGAGCTTTCTGCTTCATCAAGAAAACTAATGTCACAAAATTTTAATTGGAAAAATTGGAAATGAAAAAAGAACCCTGAAAACATCCTGCAGAATGCTGCTGTACAGGCAGGATGACACTTAATTATCCTCATGCTGTTAAACTATATAAATGCCTTTTTACAAAATTTCTTGATCCAGACAAGAAAACAAAGATGACTACAAATGCTCAAACAAGCATGCAAGGCCAGTAGGTGATGATAGGTGAGGCAGATGCCTGTGACTGCACTTGCACAAAATAACTGTTTAAGTGACTTTAAACACAGTTTGCGTTTGGACGTAAGAACATGTGCTTTAGTGAGGACAGGGCGTGAGACTGAAAGCTACAGCACCATCCATTCAAATTATCTTTGCGAAACAAGCTAACCCCATTCATTTCACATTAGCTATGGTAACTGGCTAACAACAGGTGACAAATAGAGCAGGAAATAAGACACTCTCCAGTCCTTCATTCATTAGAGCCAATTACAGTGCAGCTCGTTAATATTCTCCACCAATCAGGCCAGTTACACAGGAACTTAATTGTATTCTGCAAGACTGTTATTGGTTGATTAATGGACAGTCCCACTGTTTTTAGAGCACTGACCATCTGGATGGGCCACATACGAACCTGGTTAACTGAAGGGATAATTAAAGAGGAACTGGAGGAAGAAGTGAGAGAGGGACACATTTATTTTCTTTTTATCTGTCTTTCTCTCCTGTTCTGTCTTTGTATTCTCTCTTTCTTGTCTTTATACAAAGTGCAACCTTGGATTTTTCACTAATGCACTGCATCAATATCCAATCAGTGGCCTTGTTTTACATCGCTGTTATTGTCTTTGTTTGTCTTCTCCTCAGTCTATTTTCAGAACTGTTTGCTGCCTGATAATGAGACGGCTTGCTTGCTGGTATTAAGCGATAATGAGGAACAAAACAAAAAAATGTCAGCCCCCTAACTGTTTACATATGTAAAGTAACCTCATGTGTATTGTAACTCCAAAGAGAACTTATTATGCGTCTCATGACTGTGTTGGTTTTGTTTGAACATTGAACAAATGGTCAATTAACATAGCTGAGTGCTGTCCAGCAGCTCCCTCCAACACATAACAGATGGTCTATAATTTAGCGGTGTGATATTCTTTGGATCAAATTCAATCCTCACACGCTACACAATCCATGCATATGCATTCACTCACACGTGATGACAAAGACACCAATCAGCCCACTCACTATCACACACACACACACACACACACACACACACACACACACACATGCCCACACACACTTTTCATACATCAAGATTTAAATGTGTACAGTTGTGTCCACCAGCCAATGACTGATCTCTGTGTGATACTGCCAAGTGGTTTCTCAGTGACCACAGAATGTCAGAGTTGGTATGAGTTGTCTCAACAGAAACATATGGACCGTGTCTTTTGGAGCTGGCATGGTTTGAGCAAACATGGCTTTTTCCCGGCCATGACGGCCATATTCGATTATAGACTGCATATTAAGATGGACGACAAGTCTCCACTTCATCCTACTGTACAAAATATACCAGATGCTGCCATCTTATGCTCTTGTAAAAAAAATAACTTAATACAGTCCAAACATGTATGAAAATACCCCAAATTAACACTGTAAGCAGACTATTTGATCACTATAACCTAATTATACCACCCCCGCCTGAAATGTGGCCAGTAACTACCCAGCATATGTAATTTCCAGCAGAAAGTATAAAAAAAATTGTGATGACAGTAATGAGCTCCATGATTCGCTCAATGAGTTGTCATGCCGTCAATCAATCAGTGCTATATTGCAGTCAGCTACCAGGGGGCGATCACACACACACACACACCAAAGACTAAATACAAATGGCAACTCGAAATCTAACAAGCTGAAGGAAGCCATGTATTAGCAGTGTGAGGTGTGACCAGGTTGGGTTACACATTAAAGTTGTTGACTCCCATAGTTTTCCACAACATAACCATTTGCGTCTATCTCGACAGTGGAATTAGTTTCAATACTGCAATTACCAACATCACAGCCATACAATCACAAACACACCACAACATCCCTTTGCACTCGGAGGTTCTCTCGGAGCGCTCTTCAGTCTTCACTCTCTGTGTTTGACTTCGAAATTCACTGAGCCTCATGAGGATTTAAATCTCATGAGTCTAAAACCTTGCGAGCAGTCTTCTAACAAGATTTGGTCTGACAGCTGACCCTCATTTCCTAAAGCTGTCGTATGTTTATTTTGGGTGTTGGACTTCACAAACTCACTGCAGATCCTGAGGATTGAGACCTCAAGATTCCACCCCTGTCTGCCAAGAACAGAAATCGGAGGATTCAGTGGGCACGGGCTCACCAGAACTGGACAGTTGAGGAGTGGAAATATGCAAATGGGGCCTGGTCTGATGAATCTTCTGAATTTCTGCTGAGGCAAACAGATGGTTGGGCCAGAATTTAACAGCATGAAACCATGAACCCAACCTGCTTTTGTCCAGTTGTCCAGGTTGGCAGTGCAGTAGTGAGGGGAACATATTTTTAACTGCCAGTCAATCATTGTTTCAAATCCACAGTCAATCTGAGTATTGTTGATGGCCATGTGCATCCCTGAACGGCCATATTTACATTTTCTAATGGCTACTTCCAGCAGGATAAAGCATGATGCTGCAATATCTTGGGGAATCAATGCTAGAAAGATAATAAAAATGCATACACACACATATGGATTCATCTATGTAAAATAAGACAATGGTAGAAGACAGAAGTTTGAGAAAGTTAGTGAAATTAAAATGCAGTGTGGTATTTTCCAACAATATTGTAAGGAAGGTGAATTGTTTTGTAGTTTAACTTTGTACCTGACAGGTTGATGGAGTAGTGACTTGGACTGGGGGACTGAGAAGAAAAGGAGGAATAGCTGCACAGACTGGAGAGAGAGTTACAGTCATGCACCTGTGTTGAGTTGAAAGGTGAAACGGAGGTTGCGTTGCCCTCAGAGACACAGTAGCCAGATTGTGTAACTTATGGTTGACATCATCACGGCCATTCAAACCATTAATGGACTCAAACTTTTCAGAATCTGTGCTGCCCTCAAGTGGTTTCTCAAAGGAACTGCTAGAGCCCCAAAAAATGACAGAAAGAGGTCGTGCTCATTATGTAATGTTTTTACTATTAAACCTACGTAAAACATTACAAACACAATTTACCTTCAGCAGTGAGCAGTTGAAAGTTTGTTGGAGCTGTGAGAGTTACATCTGGTGGACGCTCTATAGACTGAGCTGGATCAGAGCAGGTGCCCAGAGATAGAAGAGGATAAATTCATTTGGTTCACAATGTTGAAGTTCTTTGTGTGATTTTAATTAACAATTTTAACTTTTGATTATTTTTAGTGGAGTCAAGTAAAGTGTGAAAAATATCACAAACTGCACTTGTGTGTATTTAGTGCTATAGCATGTCTCAAAAGTTTCTCAAGTTAAACTTCTGGATTAGACCACATATTAATTTATTTGTTCACCTTTTCCTACACAACAGACTAAAAATGGTCTATATAAACAATAATATAAAATCAACTATTTTTGAAAGTGACTGTAAAGGGCCAATTCACGGAGACGAGTGAAGAGGTGAAAAAAGTGCCACAGGTTGAAATGACTTATACCTGAACGTCCCAATGTTTGTCTCAGAGCCAGTGAGACAACTAGAAGAGGAAAGAGTGAAGATACCAAGGAAGCATTGGGGGCAGGGAGGAATGAAAAGAAGGAAGGGAAGGGACACCAGACAAAAGAGATAAGGAAACAAGAAACACTCAACCACTTTATTAGCTACATTATAGGATAATATTTCAAACTCAAAACACAGAAAATAAATTCAACACAATTATAATCTAAAGATAGGAAACTATTGTTAAAGCCAACAACATGTGCAGGAAGTAAACATGGGGGATGAAATAAATGTAAAGGCACTGAGGAAATATTTTACACAGTGAAATAGCATTTATACAGTCACTTTGCAAACCATCAAATCACAACAACTGGATTTCTGAAAAACACCAGCAACTAACAAGCCTCCCTTACTTGCATATACTTGATACTATAGAGATATTTTAAAGTGTCAATCTGGATTGTCACACCCAAGCAGCATAAGATAAGAGCCATTAGTTTAGATATACTGTACATAACATGCAGGACTTTTTCGGACTTCGTCATATTTCAAGATACTGTGGTCATCCAATAGTTCCAATGCTGGCAGATAGACGGGTGTAAACAAGTCGTTAAAGGTTTTGAATAGTTATAAAGTGAGAAATGTCTGACATACAGTTATTCAGCAGTCCAACTGAAGTCAAGGAAAGTTTTTATGAGTAAATCTGTATTTCTGTGCATTATTGTCATGTTCTAATTCACAATTAATCAATATGTTTCATGCTATCTACAGTATATAACTTTCAGTGGGCTGATTTTGCTTCTCTCCTCTCAGAACTGTGGTAGCAGATCCTGTATCATATAAAATATTTGTAAAAATCTGTATTGAAGACCGAGGGGGCAAAGATGTGGATTGAAAGCTAAGATTAGAGCCCTCAGAAGTTATTTCCCACTTTCATTCTGATGATTCACTAAAATAAGAAGAAACTAAAATAACATCTCTGATATGATTTCAGATACACAACAAATGCACTTCAGTCAAACTCAAAATGTCTGTATATTGAAGTGAAGCAGACACACACCCACAGCTAAAAGTGCATATGTAGGCATCTATACCTTTGGGCTAGTAATCAGTGGAGTGGGCCCAGCACATAAGCAAAAGTTAAATAAAGATCTGAATAAGGCACGTAAAGTAACACACACACACACA